ATAAATAGCAGAGCCAAATTTAGAACCCATGTCACCTGGCTCCAGAGGCTGTTTTTTTTTTTTTCTTTTTGACTTTATTTATTCGTGAGAGACATAGGCCGAGGGAGAAGCAGGCTCCCTGTAGGGAGTCTGACATGGGGCTTGATCCCAAGACCGCAGCCTCGCAGCCTCGACCTGAGCCAAAGGCAGCCAGTCAACCCCTGAGCTCCCCCGCTCCAGGCACTCCCCCGAGGCTGTTCTTAATTCCTAGTCCATACACTCTCACCAAGAGATAGATCTCTTACACCTGGATTCATAACTGAAAGCTCCACTTCATGAAATACCACTTCCCCTTACTGGGTACTAGGCACCCTGAGATTTCCCACTTCATCCCATTTCTCTCCACACCACTCCATTCTGTTCCATTCCGCACTTCTCTGCTCTTCTGTGTCTAGTGTGCTTTCTTCTACTTTTGTTTTATTTGTGACATCCATCCATATTTTCACATATAGTTTGCTCACTCTTATTCTCATGCTGTGCCTCAGTTTCTTCATCTGTGGAATGGTACCTACCTCATAATAATGTGCGAGGACTGGATGAGTTCAGTCATGTCGAGACTTAGAAGAAAGCCTGGCACAGGAGAAAGGGTCAGTCAATGTCAGGGCTCTTGAGAAGGAATAGGCCTGACTGATGGGAGAGGGTAGGGTTGTACCTAGCAGAGAGAATTGCTTGGGCCAAAAGGTATGGAAAAACCTGATGCTTTTTGGTAGTGATCCTGGGTTTCAGAGTAGCTTGGTGTGTTGAGGAAAGGAAAGAAGATGTTATTAGACATTGGGCTGGGAAGATACCAGAACAGCGGCATTTCAGAAGTCAAGTTGAGAGCCAGAACTCTGCCCTGGGGACAGCAGGAGCCAAGGATGGGTCTTGAGCAGAGAGGAGCAAGTTTGAATCTGGGCAGTAGAAACCCGCCTCAGGGCCATGTGGGAGATGGATGGAGGCTGGACGGCCAGGGGGGAGGCTGGTGGTTGGTCCTAGCAGGAGAAGATGAGGCCCAAGATGGGCAGGACTGTGGGAGGTACATAGCAGGGGATAGACTCTAGATATTCCAGAGAAGGGAAAGGTCAGATAAACAGATCCTCAGCAAAGCCACTTGCCACACAGACTCAGTCACCAAGGGCCTAGGGAATCTTGATCCATGTGGCAAACAGGATATTGTTCAACTGATATTAAAATTTGGCCCAATATGGGGTGCCTGGGTGGCTCAGTCAGTAAAGCATCTGCCTTTAGCTCAAGTCATGATCCCAGGGTCCTGGGATGGAGTCCCATGTCAGGTTCCCTGCTTACTGGGGAGTCTGCTTCTCCCCTCTCCTTTCTCTCACACTCTCTATCTCAAACAAACAATCTTTAAATTTTTGTCCAATTTATACACATACACAATTACATATACCATATGTATACTTTAACTGTACCATATATGCCATATATATACTGTCTAAACTGTACTGGTTGTTTATAGCTGATGTCTTTCTGATTGGTCAATACCCATCGCTACAACTGTGACGAACTATTTTGAATTTGACGCTTGAATATCCATCCACAATGTTTGTTCAAAAGACATCTATGGGGATCCCTGGGTGGCGCAGCGGTTTAGCGCCTGCCTTTGGCCCAGGGCGCAATCCTGGAGACCCGGGATCGAGTCCCACATCGGGCTCCCGGTGCATGAAGCCTGCTTCTCTCTCTGCCTGTGTCTCTGCCTCTCTCTCTCTCTCTGTGTGACTATCATAAATAAATAAAAATAAAAAAAAATTAAAATTAAAAAAAAAAAACAAAAGACATCTATGCTTTTTTGCTTAAAAAAATTCAGAGAATATGCAAACAGACAAAATAATGAAAGATCATCCCTCTACCACCAAAAGGTTATGTTGATTTGGGTAGGTAGAGTTGTGATTTTTCCCAGATTTTGCAAGATCTGTGATTTTGCTTTGCATTTGTTTTGCATTGCACATATATCCTATTGTGTATGAGTTAAAGGTGTCTGACTGAAAGCAACTAAAAAAATCCATATAGTGGCTTAAATAATTGGAAGTTCAGTTTTCTCTCGTAACAGGGACTCTGGAGGAAGGCAGTCCTTCTCTTTGATTTGGCAGCATTTTCATTTGGGGGATTCTTTTTCATGGTTGCAAGGTGGTTGCTGCAGCTGCGGCCATCACACCTTTGTCTAGAACCAGATAAAGTGGGAAGGGGAGGTGCACACTGATGCCCTGAACCAAACTGGAGACCCATGAGTGAGGAAGAGCAGAATGGATGCTGGGTGTGGACACAGGATCTGCACTTGGTGTCCTTCTATAATCGGCAGATGACTGACCTGGACCAGGATGCTAATTAGTGGGAGGAGTGCTGTGTGAGTGGGAACTAATCTTGTAAGTGGTTGTTAGAGCTGAGGATAACAATTTTTTTTTTCCTGACAATTGCTTGCCTAAACTGAGTGTAGGGATTTAGATAATGAGGATTTCCTGGATAGGCATTTTTGCCCATGTGTCAGAAGTTCTTAACTCCAGAATGTTAGCAGAAGTTTTGAGGGGTCAGAAAGAGTCTGCATTTGGGTTCTTGGTAAACCCTGCAAACTTGCCCCCTACAATGGGTACACTGAATCTTACCCACATCCCAGGAAATATAAGGGCTTGCATCAAACACACTGAGCAACTCTGACAGCTGCCAATCTGATAGGTGAAAATAAGGGTTTTAGATTTAAATCTCTTTTTATCCCTAAAAAGGAGAGCAGACGTTTCAGATGGTTTTTGACTATTTACTTCCTCTTCCTGGTTTTTTTCTTTCATGTATTTTTCTTTTGAGAGTTCTTATTGATGCTTAGGAGCTGTTTATATATGATGGTTTTTCATACTTTATAATACTTTCTTATATGTGCTAATACTGTCTCTGAGTTTTTTGTCTTTTTTTAAGATTTTATTTATTTATTTGAGAGAGAGTGCATGAGAGAGCATGAGAGAGAGCACAAGCAGGGGAGAGGGGCATAGGGAGAGAGAGAAGCGACTCCTCCCTGAGCAAGGAGCCCAGCTAGAGGCTTAATCCCTGGACATCTAGGACCTGAGCTGAATGAGCTTCCCAGGTGCCCCTGAGTTGTTTTTTTTTTTTTTTTGTCTTTTAACTCTTGTTTTGTTCTTTTCTATAATAAAGTTAAACTATGTGGTCATCTCTGCCACTGCTTTTCCTTATGTCTTCTGAATTTAATATCATGCTTATAAAAACCTTTCCTACTTCAAGATTATATATATATATAATATATATAAAGATTATATACATATATTTCCTTATACATGTATAAGATTATATTCTTATATAAGTTTTTATTTTATATAAAGGTTTTATCTTATCTTTTTCTTATTGATTTGAAGATCTGTTTGTATATGAAGTATAGTGACTACCATGTGGTGTATATGTTATAAATATATTTTGCTGGCTTGTTGGTTCCTTTTCAATTTTGTTTCTGGTGTTGTTGCGTTCAGAAACTTCAGATTTATTTAAAGTCAAACCACTGATCTTTTTTGTAATGATTTGCAACTTTCAGGATCACATTTGATTGTTCTTCCCTAACCAGAGATCATATATTCATTTGTATTTTTGTTGTTGTCACAGTTTTATGGTTTTATTTTCTTGCTTTAAATGTTTAATTTACTGGGAGTTTATCCTGGTGTGTGGTTTGAATCTGGGAATCGAACTTAATTTTTTAACAATAACAACAAAAAAACTATGTTAGCTAGATGTGATCCTGGGGTAGGATGGGGACTTCTGGGGACAGTTTCACTGTGAGGCCAGAGCCCCTGGCTTATTGGTAACTGTCTGTATTCTCCTTCCCCACCAGGCCTTGGAGACCCGGGCCAGCCCCGGCCACACCCCAGGCTGTGTCACCTTTGTTCTGAATGATCACAGCATGGCCTTCACTGGAGATGCCCTGCTCATCCGAGGGTGTGGGCGGACGGACTTCCAGCAAGGTCACAGGCCCATTCCCCTAACCTGAGATCTTAGTACAGTTATGTGTGTGCCAGGGTTTTAAGTATCTGTTGCAAGAATGAATGAATGGACATTAGATTTTTAGGGAGTTAGGATTGGATGGAAGAAGTTCAGCTGCTGGAGTGAAGGAGAGTTAGATTCAAGGGTTAGCTATTGCCAGACAGATTCAGCAGTTTACCTTGTTGGGGGACAGTTAGATGCAAGGGTGGATTAGTTATATATGGCTCTGAAACAAATCACCCCAGAACTTAATGACTTAAGACAATGATTAACATTATCTCACATAGTTTCTGACAGTCAGGACTCTGGGAGCAGCCTAGCTGGGAGGTTCTGGCTCAGCATCTCTCATGGAGGTGTAGTCACATGAAAGCCTGGGCTGTGGTCATCTGAAGGTTTGACTGGGGTCTGAGGGTCTGCTTCTAAGGCCCCTCACTCACATAGCTGGCAAGCTGGCTCTGATTGTTGGTAAGAGGCTTCAGTTCCTCACCGCATGGACTCCCCATGAGGCTATTTTGTCTTCATGACATGGCAGCTGGGTTCTTCCAGAGGGAATGTTCAGAACGACACAGACAAGACTAATTTTTTTTTAATGACCTAGTCTAGAAGCCGAACGCCATCATTCCTTTTTTAAAAAATAATTATTTATTCATGAGAGACACACAGAGAGAGGCAGAGACACAGGCAGAGGGAGAAACAGGTTCCCTTCAGGGAGCCCAATGTGGAACTCGATCCCAGAACCCCAGGATCACGCCCTGAGCCAAAGGCAGAGACGCTCAACCACTGAGCCATCCAGGTGCCCCAAAACTCTGTCATTTCTGCAATATCCTATTTATTAGTTGCAAGCCACTTAGTCCAGACCACTGTCAGGAGGAAAGGTGTCACATTTTCTTTTTCTTTTTTTTTTTTTTGAGGTGTCACATTTTCAACAGAAAAATGTCAGTGAATTTGTAGGCATATATTTTTAAAATTTTATTAAAATTTTATTTATTTATTTTCATGTGGAATTCTTCATGAATTTGCATGTCATCCTTGTGCAGGGGCCATGCTAATCTCTGTATCATTCTAATTTTAGTATAGGTTTTTATTTTTTAAAAGCTATTATTTTTTAAAGACTATATTTTCCATTTTTATTTTTTTAGAAGATTTTATTTATTCATGAGAGACACAGAGAGAGGCAGAGACATAGGCAGAGGGAGAACCAGGCTCCCTGTGGGGAGCCCGATGTGGGACTCGATCCCAGGACCCGAGATCGCGCCTGAGCTGAAAGCAGATGCTCAACCCCTGAGCCACTCAGGTGTTCCCCAAGATTATATATATATATATATTTTTTAATTTTTTTATTTATTTTATGATAGTCACACACACACAGAGAGAGAGAGAGAGAGAGAGAGAAAGAGGCAGAGACACAGGCAGAGGGAGAAGCAGGCTCCATGCACTGGGAGCCCGACGACATGGGATTAGATCCCGGGTCTCCAGGATCTCTCCCTGGGCCAAAGGCAGGCACTAAACCTCTGCACCACCCAGGGATCCCAGATTATATATTTTTTAAAGTAACCTCTACACCCATTGTGGGACTCTAACTTATGACCCTGAGATCAGAGGTGTGTGTGCCACCAACTGAGCCAGCTGGGTACCCCTATGGATATTTTTTTAAAAAGATTTCCCTCTGTGGCCTCAGGTCTTCAGTTTCTTACCTTCTAGTTCAGCCTCCCTGCCCAGAACCCTTTCTTGGCATCCCCAGGCTGAGGGCACAACTCCTTGGTACTTCAGGATCTCATCCCAGCCTTATTTACTGCTATAGTGAATTTCTTACCATTTCCCAATTCTTTACATATGCTGTTCCATCTGCTCAGAACGCCCCTTCCCTCTCTTTCTGTGCCTAGACAAAGGGGTACTGGCTGAAGACGAGGGAGAGACTCTAGCTACTGTGATTTCATCCTCCCACCCTTTTCTTGAGTGAAGGGTCTAGAAAGCTTCTGTCTTGTTGATTTACTCACCACTGAGTTTTCCCTCCCCAGGCTGTGCTAAGACTTTGTACCACTCGGTCCATGAAAAGATCTTCACGCTTCCAGGAGACTGTCTGATCTACCCTGCTCATGATTACCGCGGTGAGGGCTTCCTGGAGGAGGTGTGGGACTTACATAACTTCACATTTGAAGGGGAGGGAGTACCAAACTGCTGTAGTCTTTGTGGGCATGGAGGCTACAATTCCCAGAAATTTCTCTGGCCGGAAAGATCAAGTGTTTAGGTATGCTGAGTGTGGATGGAGAAACAAGACTAGAAGAATTCCCAAGGGTATGTGTATTCCAGACTTCCTTACAGAGCTTAGGGATGTGGGAAACTACATTTCCCAGAGTGCCAATGGAGGCGAGCCAGCGATCTCCACGACATTCTGGGAAGAGCCTGTGAGTCCCAGCCCCGAGATGCACCCTAAGCCTTCTGGGAAATGTAGTCCTAGGAGGCCCCAGGCACTTGCCGGGTTGACATCCCTCCCCTCCCTTGGCCACTAGGGCTCACAGTGTCCACTGTAGAGGAGGAGCGGACTTTGAACCCGCGGCTCACCCTCAGCTGTGAGGAGTTTGTCAAGGTCATGGACAACCTGAACTTGCCAAAGCCTCAGCAGATAGGTAAGCAGTTGGGGGCCCGGAACTCCTGGGTCTGAGGGAGGAGGGGGCTTAGGGCAAGAACTCTAGTTTCCCAAAGAAGAAAGGCGGGACCCTTTAGTTTCAACTTTTTTTTTTTTTCCTTTCAGACTTTGCTGTTCCAGCTAACATGCTCTGTGGGATCCAGACTCCCCCTTCCTGACCTGGCTTTGTCAGGTGCCTGTTTCCACTAAGAATGCACTAGGTGGGGTACAGAGAGAGGTGCCATCGCCAAGCCTCTCTTCTTCCCCTCCCTCACCAGCTCCTGAGCTTCATAAATAAATAAAAAAATTATTTTTTGCTCTTAATCTTACTTCCATCTGTGTGGGGGTGGAGGGAGCAGTTGGTTTTCTGGTCTGAGGTGTATGGTCTGAAGAGGCCAGGGAGGAAAGCAGGGTGAAGATTCGGGGTGCTGGGAAGGAGGAAATGTTCCAACTCACAAGACCAGAAACAAACATATCTGGGGCAGAGGTTCTCACATCCTTGGATTAGAATACCATCTTGAGGGGTGCCTGGGTGGCTTAGTGGTTGAGTGTCTGCCTTTGGCTGGGGGTGTGACCCTGGGGTCCTGGGATTGAGTCCTGCACTGAGCTTCCCAGAGGGAGCCTGCTTCTCCCTCTGCCTCTGTCTCAGTCTCTGCGTCTCTCATGAATAAATAAAATCTTAACAAAACAAAACAAAACACCATCTTGAGTTTGTGCCACTTGCACCCGTATGACCCAGGATAAGGTGCTCCAAGTCTCAGTTCCCTCACCTGTGCAATGGCAATAATACTAATAACAGGGTGTTGTGATGATCCAATGAGTCCACATGTATGAGGTGCCTGGCACACTGCCTGTATGACAGGCATCCTATCAGTGGTGACTATTACTGTTACTATCATTTGCAGTGATCTTCCAGGCACTTCCCGGCTGCATCAGAGTGACAGTATGCCCAGTTGTCAAGAACATGGACTTACTAGAGAACAAATCTAGCCTTAAGATGAATAACATGTTCAGGCTTCCAGGCACATTTATCCCCCTAAGCCTCAGTTTCCCCAACTGTAAAATAAAGCTGATAGTCCCTTTCTCATTAGGCTACTGTAAGGATAAAATTAACGTGTATACAGTGTTGAGCACAGCTCCTGATATCCAATGATCCCTTCTCACATGCCAGTTATTTTCCTGTTTTTGCCCAGAGAGGAAAGGGTCTGGCTGAGACCTTTAACTTCTGCCCTCCACCCCACAGCAGGGTGGGGCGGGGGTCACACTTCCCCGGGGTCTTCCCTGGGCGGGTCTCTGACTCAGTTCAGGGCACCCCCTCCCCTTGCCCAGCTCCCCAAACCGGTCAGAGCCCTTCTAAAGGGCTCATTATAGGGGAGAGGTCCCTATCTCCATTCCCCCTTCCTTTCAGGATTGCCAGGGTCTGGGCATTAGGGAGGCGCTTATACACAGGTGACCAAGACACCTAGCCCTCCAGGGGGCATGAACGGGGCGGGGGGGGTGCTGGAAGGAGAGTGGGGGGTCGCGATGCTGGGTTTTCCGAGGGTGGGGCTGGTGGGGCTGGTGGGGCCGGGATGGCCGGATGCCGCGGCCGCGGGCGGGGCAAACTGGTCGCTCCCTCCTCCCTCGGGAGCAGTTGGACCTGTTGTCCCCCCCTCCACTTCCGGGCTGCTGGGGAGGGGGACAGAGCAGCTTCTCCTGCCTCTTCCCCAGCCACCTGTCCCGTAGACAGAACAGGCTGCGCCCCGAGCGCAGAGGGAAACACGCCGAATCCTGAGCAGGTGAGGGGGCCGGGGCTGCGGGGAAGGAGGGGGCTGGAGACGGCCTTCTGGGCTCCCTCGGGGAGAAGGGAGGCTGGGGTTTGGGAAGGAGCAGAGGACGCAGACTCTTGGTTAGTTCGGGGAGAGAAAGTAGGAGCCCAGACTCCTGGATCTCTGAGTGCGACGGCGTGGGCGCTGATCCCCCCGCAGTGGAGTCGGGGCCAAGTCTACCAGGCTCGGGAAGGGAGGGTGCGGGATCCCGGACGCCGGAGTCCGGGAGGGAGGAGATGGGATCGCTCTGGAGTGCTCCAAGGGACTCGCGGGGGGTTGCTGGGAGGGTACAGGGCGGGACACCTGGGTGGGAGGGGAAGGGCCAGTAGGGGGCGTGCTAAGACCCCGACTCAAATTCCGATCCGGCCTTCGGGGGTGTGGCGCCCTGGGAACCACCGAACCCCGCCCCTAGAAACTCTGGGCCACGCCCCCGGGGCGCTCAGTTCCAGCCTTTGATCTCTTAGGCCCCGCCTCCTAGAGCTCTTTCCCGGCGCCCGCGGATCGGGAGTTGCTCGGACCTCGTGGGCCGCACCCCCACGCTGCCAGGCCACGCCCCCGGAAACTCGGGAGCCCGCCCACTCCGCCGGAGCGCCCAGCGGCCATGGGGACGCCGAGCGGCCCGGAGGAGGGGGGCCAGCCGCCTCCGGTCTCGGAGGGCGACGCGGAGGTTCGGCCCCAAGTGGCTGCACAGCCTCACGTGCACCCCGAGGACCCCCACGAGCCGGAGGCGCCCGCGGCCCCGGAGGAGCCCCAGCCAGTGAAGGAGCTTCCGAGCGGCCGAGGAGCCGAGCAGCAGGCTGAGGAAGAGGAAGAAGTGGGAGAAGGCAGCAGCACGGAGAGCAGCCGCGACGCGGTGAGGGAGCTGGAGGGCGAAGGAGGGGTCACAGGGGCCCAGAGAGAAAGGCAGGGGCCAGCGGTGACAGAGACAGAGGGACAGGTATAGAGAGCCGGGAGAGACACCTGGACACAGGGAGACCGAGAGACAAGGACCCAAGAGAGACAGAGACACAGAGAGATGGGGATAGGGACACAGACAGGGACCCAGAAACAAAGGACAGAGATGCTCGAAGGGAAATACTCTGAAAGGGAGAGACCTAGAGACTCGAGACAGATACGGAGTCGGAGAGACAAAACCCAGAGAAACGGGGGGAAGACTCAGAGCGACCTGGGGAGACAGGGAGAGAGACCCAGGTCCACCAGGACGCGATGTCAAGAGAATGGGACCTGGGTAGCGAAAACGGGATCTTCCTGGAGTCGGCTGCGTACCCCCTCCCCGAACTGCAGGCCCCTGGGTCTCCTCTCGGCCGGGTGGGGGGCTACCGCGCCTGCACCCTCCCCAACTCGAATAAACGGGCGTGGCGGCCGACTGGGGCTGACCAGACCCCCAGCCTCGCCACGGCCGAGACGGGGCCTCTCCTCTTGACCACGCCCCCTCCACCCTCAGGGGGAGGCTCCGCCCCCGGCACGGACCCCGGCCACGCCCCCCGCATCCTCCCGGCCCGGGGAGGGGGTGCGGGGGGCGGCACGGCGGCTTCGAGAGCAGCAGCTCGAGGCACTGACCCGCGTGGCCCTGATGGAGCAGCGAGTGAAGGAGCTGCAGCGCCAGAGGAAGGAGCTGAGGATCGAGGTGAGCCTGCGGACCTCGTGGGCAGTCTGGCCCCGGCTCAAGGGGAGCCCTCAAGGCCAAGCTCCCGACCCCGCCCTGCCTCCCGCGGAATCCGACCCTTAGGCCTCCAGCCCTATCCTCCCTCGGAATCCGGGAGCTCAGACCCCCAGGCACACCCCACGTGGACCCAGGAGTCTGAGTCCCCAGCCTCCTCCTTCCTCGGACCCAGGCCTCTGGGCCTCAGCGCCTACATCCTCCCCACAGATGGAGGTGGAAGTGGCCCTTCTGCGGGGCGAGCTGGCTGGAGAGCGGGTGGCTGCCCGGCGCGAGGAGGAGCAGCTCCGGGAGCTGCTGGGACAGCAGGTGGACACGGAGCAGGGCAGCCAGGAGCAGCGGGAACAGGTCAGTGTGTCCTGCTGGATCTTCACCATCAGTTTCCTTCCTTGTCTGAGGGATATTCCTGGTGGTGCCCTTGGGACTTGAGCCCCATTCCCCAAAGGGATACTGGGGCTGGGGGTGGGGGATGGGTAGATGCTCCTTGTTTTCCTCCTCCCTCCTGGACCATGATTCTGAGGCCTGACACATTGGGGTCTCTTCCTTTGCCCCTCTCTCTGTGCTCTTTGAATGTCATATTGTGAAAAATGTCAAACCCACAGAGTAGTCAGGTGGGTGGCCATGTGGTATGCTCACCAGCTTCAGCGGTAATTGATCTTCCATTCTTGTTTCATGTCCCTCCATTTGCTTCCCCATCCCCAGATTTGTTTTGTTTTATTTTAAGATTTTATTTATTTATTTGACAGAGAGAGCCATGAGTGGGAGAGGGAGAAGCAGGCTCCCCATTGAGCAGGGAGCCCCATGCTGGGCTCTATCCCAAGACCCCGAGATCATGACCTGAGCTGAAGGCAGACACTCAGACAACTGAGACACCCAGGCGCCCCCTGCCCCCCAACCCCAGTTTTAAAAGCCAATCTGAGACCTGGTATTGTCTGTAAATTCTTTGAGAATCAATTCACTCATAAGGTGTGATAACGATACGGTGATAGTGTTTTTAAAAACAGGCGCACAGGGATCCCTGGGTGGCGCAGCTGTTTGGCGCCTGCCCAGGGCGCGATCCTGGAGACCCGGGATCGAATCCCACGTCGGGCTCCCAGTGCATGGAGCCTGCTTGTCCCTCTGCCTGTGTCTCTGCCTCTCTCTCTCTCTCTCTCTCTGTGTGTTACTATCATAAATAATTTTAAAAAAATTTAAAAACAGGCGCACAGCTCTGGACACCTCCCTCTCTCCAGCCCCAAACCTGCTGTCAGACAACATGCCCAGTTCTTTCAGCTCCCTGACTCTCTCTCTAGTCCTGTTGCCCCAGGATAAGGGCTCCTCAGCCTGGTTGGCCAAACCAGACAGGAGCTCACCGTCCCTGCCTTTCCGCTGTCACCTCCTCCCTCTGTGCTCCTCGTGGCTACCGCCCCACCACATCTTCCTCTCTGACCAGGCTTTACCCCTGAAACTTCCTATGCTTTTCAACTACTATGCATCTGTGCCGCACTGTGCCCTCAGCCTCAAGTGCCCTTCCAGCTCCTTCTCTCTCCCCAGGTCTAATTGTTCCCTGATTTTTGAGGCTTATCTTAAAATCCTCACCTCCAGGAAGCCTTGGATCATCCCGGTACACATTGCTCCTCACTTTTGGTTTCCGTAGTCTCTGTGTTTTCTTTTCTTTTCTTTTTTTTATGTATGTATGCGTGTATGTATTTATTTATTTGAGACACACAGAGAGAGGCAGAGACATAGGCAGAGGGAAAAGCAGGCTCTCTCTGGGGAGCCCAGTGCAGGATTCGATCCCAGGATCCCAGGGTCATGACCTGAGCCAACGGCAGATGTTCAACCACTGAGCCACCCAGGTGTCCCAGTCTGTGTTTCACTGTCCTGATTGTCCCAGCCCCCTGCTCTCCAGTACAAGAGTGAACTAGATGGGGGCGCCTGGGAGGCTCAGTGGTTGAGTGTCTGCCTTTGGCTCAGGTCATGATCCCAGGGTCCTGGGATTGAGCCCTGCATTGGGATCCCTGCTCGGTGGGATATCCCTGTCCCTCTTCCCCCTGCACTTGTACTCTCTCACTCCCTCCCTCTCTCAAATAAGTAAAATCTTAAAAAAAATAAAAATAAAATCTTAAAAAAAAAAAAAGAGTGAACCAGACAGACAGACGGGGAGTCCCTGTACTCTTGGAGCGCTCACCCAGGCGGGGTCTCGTGACACGGGTAGCCTGGCCCATGCCGGCCTCTGTTCTCTTCCTGTGTCCAGACTGAGGCTGGGAGCCTGGGTGTTCTTTCAGGAGCAGAGGCAGCTGAGCCAGGAGCGGGATCGTGTGGAGGGTCTTCGCCAGAGACTCCAGGAGGCCCAGGGGCAGCTTGACTCACAGCCAGAGGACCAGCGTGAGCGGCTTCTGCAGGGAGTGCAGGAGGTGAGGGTCCTCCGCATCCTCTCAGGAACCTGGTAACCAGGCCCCTCTTCCCTCCTTGACCAGAACTCCTGGTCCTGGCCCACCTACCTGCCCTGGGCCCTGGGCAGGAGGACCCTCTCCAGGTCCTGCAATCCCACCCACAGATGAGGGAACAGCTGGATGCGGCCCAGCGTGCATACGAGGACCTGGAGTTCCAGCAGTTGGAGCAGGAGAGCCGGCGGGAGGAGGAGGACCAGGACAGCCCTGGGGCCCGGGCAGGAGACCCCAAGGTCCGGGAGCTCCAGGCCAGTGTGGCACAGCACAGGGTGAGTCAGGCTGGGCCAGCCCTTCCTCCCTTGCCTCTGCCCTCTGACTCCTCCATTCCAGGTCTGGCCCTTGCCCTGCCCTCATTTCCCACCTGCGTCACGGTCTTCAGAAGAGTTTATGACAGTCATGGACATTTATTGAACGTTTACAATGTGCTGGGTATGGTCCTAAATGTTTCATGAGTCTTTACTCATCGAGTCCTTATGAGAATCAGAGGGGGCCAATCTGACTCTCCCCCCCAGACTTTAAAGAAACTGAAGGTCAAGATGCTCAAGTAACCTTTCCCAGGGTTGCTCAGTTTGTAGAGGATAGAGCTGGGATCTGAACCTCTCGATTGGGACGAGTGGCTCCTTTCCCCACCCCCATTTCTGGACTTTCTCCCTGTCACTCTCTCTTCTCCCTCTGTCTGTCTTGTCTGTGCCTTGTCTCCTCTCTTACCTCTTCTTCTGGGGGGTGGTCTTGGTCCTTTATTTTTGTCTCTATTCTGATTGGTCTCTCTGTCCTCCACAACTCTCTCTGGGTCTTCTCTGCCTCTCTCCATCTCTGTCTGAGCATCAGATCCTCCATCCCCTCCAACTCACCCCAGGTTTCTCCTGGACCCCCAAAAGGGAACAAAGGTGCCAGGGGAACATAACTCTGAGCCCCCACCCCCACTCCTGCCTGGGCACCCAGGTCCCCGGGTCTCGTTATGGGGTCCAGCATACCCCAGGCTCTCGAGGAGGACTTAGCTCTAGGGGAGCCAACTGGGAACCTGGGGGCTGCTGAGTAACCAGGGCCCCGGGCTGTGCCCTGCAGCGCCGGATCCAGGTCTTAGAAGAGCAGCTCAAGTCTCTGGGGGAGCAGATGGCAGCTGAGAGCAGGGGGCTGAGCCAGAAGAAGGAGGAGGCCCTTCAGGCCCTGACACAGGTACGTGCTCCAAGGAGACCTGTCCAACTGTCCCTCTGGGGCCTCTCATCACCACTCGGCACCCTAGGATGTCTCCTGGCATCAGAGAAGGCGGCTAGGTTGGCCCATTCTGATGCTGCAAGGTGCCAGCCAGTGATAACTTGCTCCTCTATTAGGAGCGGAACCGACTGCTCGAGCTTAATTGCCTTCAGAGAACCCCGGGCAGGAACTTCTCCGAGTCCAGCCAGGCCCTCACTAAGGTATGGGGATTTCCTGCACCTCTCAGCCCCTCCTCCTCAGACCCAGGAGACCATCCCCCAAACTCTTCCTCCTCCCTCAGGAGTCCGGGCCCCCAGACCCCTTCTCCCTTGGGGTTCACAATTCCCTACCCTTAAACCCTTTTATCTTTGGGTCCCAGGAATTCAGGCCCCCAGTCCCTCCTCCTCAGGGAACCTGTAGTCTCTCCCACGGTCCTTGCTTCCTAAGACCCCAGGCCAGCTCTCTTGTGACCTTGAACCTTTGTTTTTCCATCTGAGGAATAGGTTGACACTGGAGACAAGGGCCAGAGCTTCTGGGAACTGGTGGATCCTCTGGGATCATTCCAGCTCCCATTAACCTTCAACCCCTCTCCCAAAGCTCCTGTTCACCCAGAAGACAGACCGCCAGTTGCTGGTATACCAGGACCCCACCGCCCACACTGCCTCCGCCACTTCCTCCTGCCTCTTCTCTGTTCACAGCTCCCTGCAGGTACCTTCCCCCACTGCCTCTGGTCCCCCATGTGACTTTCTCGCTGTCACTGCATCTCCAGATCTTTCCCTGTGGCTTTCTCCACCATGGGAGACTGGGGGAGAGGAAAGGATGAACGAGGGATATTTTGATTTTTTGTTAGGCTCAAACTTTACTTACTGATTCTCTTTCTTCTTCCTGACACCCCACCACTTCCCTGACAGAATGGGACTGGGTACATCCAGGAGTAAATTTCAAAAGCAGCCAAATAGGGTGTGTTGATAAGAAGGCACCCTCTTTCCACCCCACTGGCCCACAGCCCCATCCCCAGCAATGCTTTCTTGGGTACCCCTCCTTCTAGATCTCCTTAAAACCAGGGCTCCCCATTTATTAACGGCATACGACATTCATTGTTACTAACTCTTTAAAATGAAACCGAGTAGAGAGCGTCACAGTGCTGTGCAGGAGGCAGAGGCTGAATGCTAGGTGAAGAGTTTTGTTTTAGTTGTGTGGATGCACAACTAAGCACTTAGAAATTGGTAGTTGGTAGCTTTTTTTTTTAAGATTTTATTTATTTGAGAGAGAGAGAGATAGCGACAGAGATAGTTAGAGAGAACACGAGCTGGGAGGAGAGAGAGAAGCAGGCTCCCCACTGAGCAGAGAGTCTGATGTGGGGCTTGATCCCAGGACCCTGAGATCATGACCTAAGGCAAAGGCAGATGCTAACCAACTGAGCCATCCAGGGGACCCCAAATTGGTAGCTCTTATGCAAACTTTTCTTCAAAAATGCGTGTATAAGCTACTTGTTGGCTTTGATTTTTCTAACCTAACACTCGATCGTGGAGACTGTCTTCTACTGATACATTTAGGGCTGCCTCGTCATTTTTAATGACTCTCAAGATAACACTATAAACAGGAATAACGATGACAGCTGACATTTGTTGAGTCTTGAGCGTGTGCCAGGCACTGTTTTAAGTGCCTCGCATGTATTCACCCATTTGTCTTTGCAACGGTACCATCAGCTAGCTTCTTGCCTGCATCTTATAGGTAAAGAAACAGAGGCAGAGCATAGAATTGATATTATTTGGACATGGGAAGGGGTCATTTTTGGCAGCCGGGTGTGGTTCAACTTAATGTGTATATCGTGAGATCTATCAATCTACAAAATGTGAAAATATTTCATTCTTTGCTCAGAACAACCCCCCAAAGTAGGTCCCCATTATTATCTGGGTAAAGGGCTTGCAGATTTTCTGCCTGGGGAAATTAACTTTCCAGCTGGTTCCCCTGGCAGCCTGATAAAGGTGAAGCGTCAGCTGCATTCCTGGGCAACATGACTTATGGTAAATATGACCCTTAAAAGTAAATTGCCTATGTATAAATACTTGCTGGGAAGCCAGGTCCATTCCTATGGAGTTGTGACCTGGGTTATTGGCTGCCACGGACCGTGTGCCCACGGGTCCAATGCCCACCTTGCACCTGGGTGCCACCTGGGGAGGCCGTCCCAGGCACTCTCCTGTGTGCTTTGCATGAGGTCCCTCATTTAATCTTTGCATCAACTACGGCAGGGTGGTGGGACATTGCCCACTTTACAGAGGGGGACTCAAACCTCAGAAGACAGGACTTGCCAAAGTCACAGCCCCCTGAAGTGGCCGAGCTGGGTTTGAGCCCAGTCTGCCTGCTTCCCACGACCAGTGCCTTCCAGGAGGCAAGGGTGTCTCCGGAGTCCCTCGGAATGCAGGAGGGCACCATGGCTAGCGCTGGCTCAGGGGACACGGCTGGGGACCGCAGGGCACATGAAGAGCCCAGGGAGTATTTACTTACCTGGTTTACCAGGTAAACATACACAAGTGGATGAATGAGTGTGTGAATTAACAAAGGACTCCTCGCTCCTTCCTCTTGGTCCCTCCAAGTCCCGTAAGTCTCAGATTTTACCCTTCTTTCCAGGATCACGTGTTGTGCCAGGGTACTGACGCTGCTTGGGTTCAAACACCTGTTCTGCTGCTTTTAAAGATTTTACTTATTTATTCACGAGAGATGCAGAGAGAGAGACAGAGACACAGGCAGAGGGAGAAGCAGGCTCCATGCAGGGAGCCCAATGAGGGACTCGATCCCGGGACCCAGGATCACGATCTGAGCTGAAGGTAGACGCTCCACCGCTGAGCCACCCAGGTTCCCCCAGGACACATCTTTTTGCCTCAGTTTACTTAGCTGACAAATGTGAACAACAAAAGCACCCACTGGTTGATGGCTAAAGTGCTTAGCATGGAGCTTGGCACATAGTTGGTGTTCAGTGAACGTGCTGTTGCTCTGATGATCATTACAAGTATTAGTATTATCATAATTATTAGCACCCTTCTTCCACCCACTCTCACCCTCATCTCTGATTTTGTGACCCTAAACCAGCCTCTTCACTGAATGTCTTCATTTTACTTTTTGTCTCTCAACAATCTCTTCCCCACACAACAGCCAGTGATCTCGACCCCTCCTTCAGTCCTCCCCCACCTAGAGCTGTCAGCACCCTCCTGAGCCTCCCGACCTGAGCCTGTGGGTCCCTTGCATGATCTGGCCTCTGCCGCCTCTCACCACTGTCCCCCACATACACTCTGCTGTAGCTGCAGGAGCCCTGACCTGCCAACATTCCCTACTTGCTCCTGCCCCAGGGCCTTTGCATTTGCTGATCCTTCTCCCTGGAACACTGTTCTCCTCAGTCTTCCACACCAACTCTCATTCTTTGGGCCTTAGGGGCAAGTGTCCAGAAGGCTATCCCTGGTCTCCCAGTTAGAAGCTGATCCTCTATTATGACACCTTATTCTCTCTGCTAACAGCAATTTCTAATGATACAGTTATTTGTATGATAGTTTATTCAGTTCCTACAACATAAGCGTCATGCAGATGAAGCTTGGGTCCCCCTCACCCCCCCTTGTTGCCTCAGGGCCAGATATCTCAGGTCTCAGTGAGGAAGTGCTGGGAATAGTGGTTGAAGCGAGGAGTGAAGAGGCACAGGGGCTCAGGACTCAGTGTCCTCCCTGCGAAGGGGAGCGAAACTTTCCCAGCTCCTGGGCTTTTTAGAAACTTCGGTGGCTCTACAGGGCGCCAGGTATGCCGTTAGGCATGGAATGAGCACTTGATAAATACTTGCTGTTGCTATTTTGTCAAACTTTTTTTTTTTATTAAAGATAACATGAGTATAGAAAATCACATGGAACACACACCCAGCTTAATTATTATATGGGAACACTCTGGAACTGCCAGCTGTGTCAGGAGGCAAAACTGGCAGCCACTCCGGAAACACACCACATGCCCCTGAATGATAACCCTATGTGCCTCCTGGAGAATGGCTGCTGGCTTGACGTTTATAGTAGTATCTTATATTTCTTTAAAGTTCAGGGGCGCATGGGTGGCTCAGTCAGTTAAGTGTCTGCTCTCTGTTTGGGTCATGATCTCTCAGGGTCCAGAGATCAAGCCCTGTATCAGGCTGGCGCCCTGCTCATCAGGGAGTCTGCGTCCCCCTCTCCCTCTGTCCTTCAACCCCTGCTCATGCTCTCTCTCAAATAAATAAGCAAAATCTTTAAGAAAAAATATGAAGTTCAACCAGTTAAGTGTCTGTCCCTAAATACTATAGTTTACTCTTCTTTTCTTTTTCTTTCTTCTTCTTTTTTTTTTTTTTTAGTGGCTATATATTTTAAGTCTTTATAGCCTTCCCCTCCATTTCTTTTTCTGTCCCTCTTGTAATTTATTTGGTGAAGACACCAGATGGTTGTTTTGTAGAGTTTCCCAGGCAGGGTCTGCTGATTGCATCATGTAAAGTTGGCTGCAGGGTGCCCGAGCAGGTGCAAGGTCAGCATTGTGCAAGTCTTGCTGGGGGCCATTTGCCTGTTTCTCTTTCTCTGGCATCAGCGCCTTATCTCCTTATCCGAGGGATCTAAAGTACTCCACTTCCAACCTGATATTCCTCCTCATTTATTCATTAAAATACTTCTGTAGAGGCTTGTCTTCCTTTACTTTTTTTTTTTTTTTATGAGAGACACAGAGAGAGGCAGAGACACAGGCAGAGGGAGAAGCAGGCTCCCTGCGGGGAGCCCGATGTGGGACTTGATCCCAGGACTCCAGGATCATGCCCTGGGCTGAAGGCAGGCGCTCAACCGCTGAGCCACCCAGGCATCCCGCCTTTCTTTACTATTTGATTACCCGGGGGCATGGTTTTTGTAGAAAATGCAGGAAAAATGCTCATGCTTGCTGATTTCACTTTACTCTCCAGTCTTCAAAATAAAGACTTGGTTCTCTTGCATCCTTCCCAAGGTAACCAATTTGATTTTTCCTTTGCTATTATTATCTCACAAATCAAATATATTTGAAGCCTTTTGACGAATGGCAGTGAGTATCCTTATTGGTGCTCACTTTATGCAATGTATTATTTGTTATTCTTTTTTAAAATTAATTTTTTAAAAAAGATTTTATTTATTTATTAGAGACACACAGGGGGAGAGAGAGAGACAGAGAGAGACACACACACAGAGAGAGAGACAGGCAGAGGGAGAAGCAGGCTCCATACAGGGAGCCTTACGTGGGACTTGATCCCAGGTCTCCAGGATCACACCCTGGGCTGAAGGCGGCGCTAAACCGCTGCGCCACTGGGGCTGCCCTAATTTTATTTTTAAGTAATCTCTATACCCAGTGTGGGACTTGAACTCACAATCCAAATATCAGGAGTCCTTCGCTCTTCCCAATGAGCCAGCCAAGCGCCCCATTTGTATTCTTTATTATCCACTTAGAGTTGTTTTTTCTTTTTAAAATGCTTTGCATTTTATTTCTTCATTACTCTCAAATTTATTTTCATTTTTGCCAACTTTTTATTTTTAAATAATGTAAGACAAGAAAAATTGCAGAAACAGTAGAAAGAATACCTAGGGATCCCTGGGTGGCGCAGCGGTTTGGCGCCTGCCTTTGGCCCAGGGCGCGATCCCGGAGACCTGGGATCGAATCCCACATCGGGCTCCCGGTGCATGGAGCCTGCTTCTCCCTCTGCCTGTGTCTCTGCCTCTCTTTCTCTGTGTGACTATCATAAATAAATAAAAATTTAAAAAAATATAAAAAAAAGAAAGAATACCTATATACTTGGCCTTCAGGTTCTGTAATGAACATTTTACCACATTGGACATTTGCTTTGTTTTCTTTCTCACTGTTCTCTCTCTCTCTCTCTCTCTCTCCCACACACACACACACATTGTGTGCATGTGCACAGACACTTTATTATTCTTTTCTGCAGCATGATTTCCCCTTACCCTAAAATACTTCTACATTTATTACCTAAGGTCAAGGCCACTCTTACATAACCACACTGCAGTGATCAAATTCAGGAAACTAATGTTGAGATAATATTATTGAAATAACCAGATCTTATTTATATTTTGTCAGCTGTCCCCCTATTGTTTTACTAGCAAAAACAAAACCCCAGTTTTTTTTTTCTGGTCTGAGAGCACAGGCTACATTTGGCTGTCATGTTTATTTTTTAAAAAAGCCAACATTCCCCTCATTCAAAGTTTGGAGGGTATGGCAGGATATTTGGAGAGATGGCTCTCCCACCATTGTCTCCATCCATTGCATTCAACTCCTAGGGACAGCCCCAGGTTGCCAGTTTCTCGAATCTTCCTGGAGATATTCTGTGTTTCTATAGCCTGTCATAAATATACTTTTGCCATCCTTTTTTTTTTTTTAAAGATTGTATTTATTTATTCATGAGAGATACAAAGAGAGAGGCAGAGACACAGGCAGAGGGAGAAGCAGGCTCCATGCAGGGAGCCCGAAGTGGGACTCGATCCTGGGTCTCCAGGATCACGCCCTGGACTGAAGGCGGCGCTAAACCTCTGAGCCACCGGGGCTGCCCTTTTTGCCATCTTTTTATTTATTTTTATTTTTTTATTTTTTTGCCATCTTTTTATGCATAGGTAGTACATTCTTTGCACGGTTCTGCATTTGCTTTTGTCTTAGAGATTATTTCCTCTCTGGATAGAAAGAAAAGAGCATCCTCCTCCTTTTATATGTGGGAGCATTTTCTGGGGTGTGGATGGTGGCTGGTTTATTTACTTCATCTCCTTCTGATGGGGTAGTTCCTAGGCCTTTGCAGGGAACAATCTGAAACTCAAGTCATTTTGCACATGTTAGGAGTGTGTCCATAGTATAGAGGCCTAGAAGTGGAATTGAGGCCCAAATGTTTATGCAATTGCCATTTTAAAAATAAAAAGAGCCAGGGCATCTGGGTGGCTCAGTCAGTTAAGTGTCTGCCTTTGGCTCAGGTCATGATCTCAGGATCCTGTCAGGCTCTCTGCTCAGCAGGGAGCCTGCTACTTTCTCTGTCTTTGCCTCTGCCCTGGCTTGTGCTCTTGCACTCTCTTGCTTGCTCTCAAATTAAAAAAATAAAAAATTTAAAAATTTTAAAAATCTAAAATAAATAAAAATAAGAAGACCCAAATTGGCCTCTATAAAGGTTATTCCAATAGAACCCAACCCCCACCCCCATTGTGAGAGAGCATTGTGAGAGAGCTTATGGGTTTCCCACATCCACACCAAGGTGATGGGCTTTTTTTTTTTTTTACAGTCTTATGGGATATAATTTACATATGCTACAATTCACCCATTTAAAGTGTACAATTCAGTGGTTTTCTTTGTATATTCACAGAATGGTGCAGCCATCCCCACACTCCATTTTAGAGTATGTTCATCATGCCCAGAAGAAACCCTGAATCCTCTAGCTCTCACCCCTCAATTCCCCTCCTCCCCACAAGGCCTGGCAACCACTAATCTACTTCCTGTCTCTAGATCTGCCCGTTCTGCACATTGCACCGTGTGGTCCTATGTGACTAGCTGCTTTCACCCAGCATCGTGTTCACAGTAGCTTTCTGATCTGAGCCAAGGAGCTACTGCTTTTCCTTGGCAGTCCTCCGACCTACAGTTGAGACTGAGCCTCTTTTCCTGTATGCATGGGTCTTGTGTGTTTCCAGGGCTCCATTGGCCTCCAGAGGACTGGAAGCCTGCCCCGGAAGAGGGGAGAGAGAGCCAGCCAGAGGGGATCCCCCCGACCTCTGTCCCTCCATTGTACTGGTGAGTGTCCCCCCCATTCCCACGTACCTCCTCCCTTCCTGCAGCAAGGATGGAGGAACCTGGATGTCTGGGAGTAGAGGTGGAAGGGCTCAGACAGGGAGAATCCTGGCCCCCTACCCCCCGCCCTTCTCTCCCAGGACCCCTGGGGGCCTCGGCCCTCCCACCAGCATCAGGAGACTCTGGGAGACACCCGCTCTATCAGCTGCTGAACTGTGGCCCTGGGAACAGGTGAGATATCAGGGAGAAGGTGGGGAGATGGGAAGAGGCTGGGGCACTGTAACTTGCTCCGTCTCTGTTCTCTCCTCCCAGCTGTGGGTCCCTCCACCCAGACATCGCCCGCATGGAGCAGCTCCTACAGCAGGCTGTGGCAGAGAGGGAGCGACTGCTCAAGGCCCGGGTGAGACCCCACCCCTCCTCCTTAGGGTCAGGAGATCCTATTCCAGCCCCCTTCTCCCTCAGACTCAGGAGTCTAGGTCCCCAGTACCCTCCTCCCTCAGACACAGGAGTCTAGGCCTCTAGCCCCCTCCTCCCTCAGACCCAGGAGTCCAGTACTTTTTTTCCCTTGCTTCTTATTGGTTAGCATCCTCATTGACTCCTTCATCCTCAACCCACAGGAAGGGATGAGAAGAAGCAAAGAAGGTTCCTCAGGCCCTGCTGTACCTGCCATCATGGTCAGTAGCCCCCTGCCCTCAGCCCCACCTCCCTGCTCTGTTTCTGCCCTGGCCTTGGCTTTTTCTTCTCTCAGCTTCTCCTCTCTTCCAAAAGAAGAGTGTCCGTGGCTTGGCAAGGGGAGGGGAACTAAGAAGGCCTGGTTTCTGTTCCTATCATGGTTATCTATGTCCATGGCATGTCCTCGGGTTACATGCTTTACTTCTGTGCCTCAGTTTCCTCTTCTATAAGTGGGTGACAATGTCAGTACTTACTGTAGAATGAGGGCAACTATATGCTGGGGCTTTTCAAAAACACTTAGAACATTTAAAAATTTGTTTCATTCTTTAAAAAATCTTTATTATCCAAATAGTCAGGCATATGTAGAGTAGATTAATAAGTTCCTATGTACTCACCAGGAAGCTCCAGTGATTATCAGCCTTTTTTTCTTTTTTTAAAAATTTTTATTTATTTTTAGTAATCTCTATACACACCATATATGGGCTTGAACTCATGACCCCAAGATCAGGAGTCATACACTCTACCAACTGAGCCAGCTAAGCTCCCTGGTGGTTATCAGTCTTGAATCTTGTTTTATTTGCCAGCTTTGTTTTATTGATCCCTCACCTACTCTCCACCCTGCAATGGAATATTTTAAAGCAAATTCCAGATATTGTATCATTTTGTCCATACCCCACTGTGTATCTCCAAATACGAGTTTTCTTTTTAACATAACAAAAATGCCACTGTCATACTTTATGGGATGATTAATAATTCTCTAACATCATCATATGTGATCCATATTCACATCTCCTGAATTGCCTCAGAAATGTCTTCTTATGGTTGGTTATTTGAATCTGGATCCAAACAAAGTAGATACAATGCACTTAAAATGTCTCCAAAGTCTCTGAGATTAAGAATCCTCCCTCTTTAAAAAAAAAAAAATGCTGTTTCTTTGTGGAAAAAAATTGAGTCCTTCATCCTGCAGAATTTTACACATTCTGGATTTAGCTGACAGCTCTTTACTAAAATTACATTTTTACCCATGCTAATAGCAGGAATACATTTTTATCATAATAAATGTTATTGAATTTGGGGAAGTGAGGGTCTCCCCATGGTATCTCTGGAGGCGCAAGTATTTCCTCTTGTTGAGAAGCCTTCAAATCTGTTTTTTTTTTTTTTAAGATGTTATCTATTTATTTGAGACAGAGCGTGAGAAGAGAGCTGAGGGGGGTGAGCCACAGAGGGAGAGGGAGAAGCAGGCTCACCACTGAGCAGGGAGCCAAACCAGGGCCCAATACCAGGACCCCCAGATCATGACCCGGCAGAAGGCAGACACTTAACCGATTGAGCCACCGAGGTGCCCCCTTTTAATCTTTTTTTTTTTTTAAGATTTTTTTTATTTATTCATGAGAGACAGAGAGAAAGAGGCAGAGACACAGGCCGAGGGAGAAGCAGGCTCCACGCAGGGAGCCCCATGCTGAACCAATCCCATGCCGCCCTGGGCTGAAAGCGGTGCTCAACCACTGAGCCCTCACCCCCCGCCGTGGCCCTCAAATCTTTTTTACTTTTCTGCATACACTGATCAAACCATATTTTGTGAATTTATTTTTCCCATAAGTGAGCACATTATTCCCCATCTGCTTTTTGTTTTCTTAACCATTTGTCCTTTCCTTATTTTTTTAAAAATAAACTTCCTTTATATTTATTGAGTGCCTACTGCGTGGTAGGCCGGGGGTCACAGCAGTGACCCAAATGACAATCCCTGCCCTGGAGGAATCTAGCATTTAGAAAGAAAAAGCAGCTTCAATAAGTGAAATAAGTAGCATGTCAGGTGCTGATAAGAGCCAGAGAGTCAAATAAAGCAGGTGTGGCAGTGGAGCCTTCTGGGCTGTCAGGGATAAACTGTAGCTCATTAAAAATGAAGCATTCCTGCTTTGGAGCATCATCATTTATTAAACAGCCCCCTGCTTTGTGCATTGTCTTACCTCACCCTCACCCCGGTTCCCCTCTGGCTGTCTTGTGTGCATGCGCAAGTGTGTCTCTCGCATCTCACCTCGAAACATAGTCACGGGATTGGAGAGCCTGACCTCGCGCTCGTCCTGGAATCGGCTCTAAGGGGAAGGCACTGGTGATAGCCCTCGAATTTCAGCATGGGAAACTGAGGCCCCAAGAGGGGCAGGCATGGGTGCACTGTGGGGGTGACACAGTGGACAGCGGTGGAGTTGAGAATCCCGAGCCCAGGGGCAGCCCCGGTGGCGCAGTGGTTTAGCACTGCCTTCATCTCAGGGCCTGATCCTGGAGACCCGGGATCGAGTCCCAGGTCGGGCTTCCTGCGTGGAGCCTGCTTCTCCCTCTGCCTGTGTCTCTGCCTCTCTCTCTCTCTCTGTGTCTCTCATGAATGAATAAATAAAATGTTTTTTTTTTTTTTTTAAAAAAAAAAAAAGAGTCCCGAGCCCAACAGTTCTCCTGGATTGGGGTCCCCGTCAGCCACATCCTTGCTGGTGACCTTCATGAGTAACATCCTCTCTAGAAGCCTCAGTTGCCTCATCTGGCAAATGGGGACAATAGAAGGGTTTTTTTGGTTTTGTTTCTTTTTTGAGAGGAAACAAAGTGATCAGTGTGATCGCTTGGCACAGTGCTCGACATGAGTGCGACCTTTCGTACACATTGGTGAACGTTAGTGTAACTGGATTTGGCAGCCAGACCCATAGAAGGTTCCAGGCCCCAGTAGCTGCATTTTTAACTGCTACCTGCTCCTTCCCCTCCTGTGCATCCCGCTCCCACCTCTGTATCTCTCCTCTGCCTGCCTCCCTCTATCCAGGGAGTCTCATCTCTGTTCCTCATCCCTTCTTGCTCTGCCGTCACCTGTCTTCTCAGCTCATTTCCTCAGCCCTCAATACCCAAGGTGTGGTCCTTGGACCAGCAGCATTGGCACCTGGGGAGCTTGTTGCATGCACAGAACCTCACTCCCACCCCTAACCGAACACAAGGCTGTATTCTAACAAAATCTGTAGGGGGTCAGCCTGCCTGCTCAAGTCTGAGGCACACTGCCCTGAACCTCAGTGTGACTGTGGGGATCATTACCATTCTTTGCAGAGATCCTTTGGGAAGAACAAGTGTGATCAGGCTGGGCCTCGTACACACTAGACACTTTCATTGCCCTGATTCTCCCCTTCCTGGCTGCCTAAGAATGGTGTTCTTACCTCCCTACCCCCCCCCCAAATAAAATTCCCTTACCTCCCAAGAAAGTCTGAAGGTGGCAGAGGGATTATACCCATAAAGTTCTTAGCACAGGTAGTAATTGCTGATTCCATCACAGTAACAACAGTAGTGGAAACTGCGCTCATGTATGGATCACTTATTTGGTCCGTATTTTGCAGTATATGAGGGTCCCATTAGGCTTCCTCGCTTCTCTGGAATACCTCTTGTGTTTTAGAGTGAGCTCTGGGGGTGAGACCTGGGTTTGTGTTTCAGCTCTACAACCTAGAAGCTCTGTGTGACCTCAGTTGGATCATTTTACCTTTTTGCATCTCAGTTTGCTCGGGGCCCCTAGTAGCCCTGTCCCAAGGGCAGTCATGGGAAGTCAAGTTGTTGCTGCAAGGAAGCCCCCCCCCCCCCGCCCCGGGGAAGGGTGTCCTAGTTACTGAGTGCAGCTGCCAGAATCATTCTCATGATGAGCATGGTTGAAACGGTTGGTTAGGGACTCCTGGGTGGCTCAGTGGTTGAGTGAGCATCTGCCTTCTGCTCAGGGTGTGATCCCAGGATCCTGGGATCGAGTCCTGCATTGGGCTCCCCCCAGAGAGCCTGCTTCTCCCTCTGCCTATGTCTCTGCCCCTCTCTCTGTGTCTCTAATGAATAAATAAAACTTTGAAAAAAGAAAAGAAAGAAAAGAAAAAGAAAAGAAAAGAAAAAAGAAAAGAAAAGAGCTGCTTAAAGGGCCTTGCAGGTGAGCTGATTGGGTGAGCAGGACGGCCAGGACCGCTGGCTGCAGGACACCCCCTCCCTGACCCTCTGATGTCAGCTGCGCCCCCTTCTCTTCCCTCCCCAGGCCCCGCCCTCGCCCCCACCCCGCCCCCCAGGCCCTCGAGTCTTGGATCTCCGCCAGCACCTAGAACGTTGGGGCCACAGTCCCGAAAGCTGCCCGCATGTGAGGGTGTCGGGAGGCTGCTGCCGCGGATCCCTGGTGAAGATGGGCGGCCGCATTAAGACCTGGAAGAAGCGGTGGTTCTGCTTCGACCGCCAGGCCCGGCGTCTGGCCTACTATGCTGGTAAGCCCAGGCCAGCCCCCTGGGACCTTGGGGCCCGGAGACCCTGTAAGTGGCCATTCCTGAGGCCTTCCCCAACAGACACCCAAGAGCCCTGGCCTCCTGCCCCCTTCTCTCTTAGCCCCAGGAGTCTGGATCCCCAGCCCTGTTAGCCACCCAGAATCCAACCCCCCAGCCCTCCTCAGTAATGTGGGTAACAGTTCTATACAATTCTGTCTCCCCAGACCCTATTTTCCTAGGACACAGGGAGGAATCCAAACCCGCATTGTCAGGCCCTCCCTCCACCCTCAACACCCAGGAGTCCAGGCCGCTCCTCACAGTTCCTTTCCAGGCGAGTCAGTGATTCTGAGGCTCTCCAGAGTCTCTCTTCTTCTCCAGGACCAAGGCACTCAGAGACCTAGGATTGCAGCCCCCCAGACCCCATTTCCAATCTTATCCAGTCTCCCTTCTGATCTCAACATTCACTCACCTCCCAACCAGGGTATCTTAGGGACCTCAGACTCTGCCACCATTCCGTCACCCCAATGTAAGTCTCAGGAATTGGCTCTAGTGACCCCTGCCCCAAAGCATACACACACACCTCTCACTGGCTTTTCTCTCCCTCACCTCCTCCCTCCATCAGACAAGGAAGAGACCAAGCTCAAAGGAGTCATCTATTTCCAGGCCATTGAGGAAGTCTATTACGACCACTTACGCTGTGCCTTCAAGGTGAAGCCCCCATGTGGTGCCCTTTGCCCTCCTGGTCAGAGCCCCTGCTGGCAGGCTTTAGCTTGCCCCTGGGTACACCACACCATCAGGGTCCTCTATCCAACACAGGAGCGCACCAGGTCATTTCCCTGCAGCAACCAAAAATTAAGAGCTCAGTCTCTGGCTCCCAGCCACTATTACTTTTCTTGGAGCCAAAGATATAAAGCAAAAATTTGAAAAGCTCTGATGCCAAACTGGGAATAAATGGATGAGGACGAAGACAGCCTCTTAGCATCTAGGGGAGGCGATGGTTTCTCAGCCTCTGCCTATAGTTGCCAAATGGGAATGGACCGCACCTTGTCATTTCATATTCTCTTGCCCTAGGGGACTCAGATATTTGAAATTTGTAGAAGTGCAGTGCCAGAAATCTAAATGTTGGCGACTGGTGTGGTATTTAGAAAACTCTGGGAAGCAACCGACTATGGCCTTTTAGAGCTTAGGCTGGAATCCCAGCTGTGAGACATCTGGAAAGTGACTTCCCTTAGCCAGCCTTCATTTTCTCACCTGCGAAATGGACACGGCGTAATCCATTTCTTCAGACTTGCGAAGGTTAACAGCAGGTAGTGGATAGGTGTAAAGTATTTACTCAGTTCAGGATTGGCAACTAGTTACTTAATAAATGGGGTGTAGATATTAGCTTTTTCCAGTTACAAGCCAGAAAAACGTAGATTTTGAGGGGGGATGTGAATGCGTATATTTCTAATACAGAAGGTAGGCTAGAAAGGGGACCCGAGTCTTCCTTCTAAATTCCTCCTGCTCCCCAAATCCTAAGCCCCAAAAATATTAATTCGCTTAATCTTCATAACCCAGTGAGGTAGGTAGCATCATTTAGGATGACAGATGGGGACACTGATTCAGAGAAAGCTCCAAAAATATTAATTCGCCTAATCTTCATAACCCAGTGAGGTAGGTAGCATCATTTAGGAAGACAGATGGGGACACTGATTCAGAGAGTCTAAGTGACTTGTCCAATGCCACACAGCACGGAAGGAGCGAGGCTGGGGTTCCCTTAACCACCTTCACTCTGCTGCTTACCGCAGAGCCCCAACCCTCGCCTGACGTTCTGCGTGAAAACCTACGAGCGCCTGTTCTACATGGTGGCGCCCAGCCCCGAGGCCATGCGCATCTGGATGGACGTCATCGTGACCGCTGCCGATGAGAACCACGCCCCTTGAGGCCCCACCCTCGGGGGACGTCCCGCGAGGCCCCGCCCCCGCGCCCCGCCCGCTGTCGGGAGGCCTGGGCCCGCCCCTTTGGAACTCGGCGAATCCTGCGGGTGCTGCGGCTCGGCGGGCCTGAGCCGCAGTGTCTTGGGCTGCAGGTGCCTTCCCGCTACGGGAAGCCAGCCCTTGGGGCCCTGCCCCGGGAAGGAGGAGGATTGCAGGGGCGGGAAGGAACTATTTATTGGTGCTCCTGTGATACCGAATTAAACACGGAGGGAAACAGTGGTTGCCGCAGTGTATTTCCAGCTCGGGCTGGCCAGGGACCCTTGGCCCCTAGGCGGGACATCTGAGTTATAGGTACCTCTGGGAGCCAAGCGTCCCACAGCCGGTTCTCCTCTCTATACGAATGGTGGCCTTCAACATTAAGGTCAAGGCTGGGAGAGGGAGGTGGGGAGGCGTGAGTCCTTAATCTTTGGCAATTTTGTTTTATTAGTTTGTGGGGTCCCCTGCTTCCACGCTTTCTGACTTGACTGGCCTATTGGCAACTTCAAGGAACTTCTAGGCTCCTGTCCTCCGGACCTTGGCACATAATTACTCCCTCAGCCCTGCCCTTAACCAGCTAGCAACTCACTCAGGTTTTCTTTGGGGTGTCCCTTCTTTCAGGAAGCCCTTCTTGGGGCCCCCTAGATGGGTCAAACACCCCATTTTGAGCTTCCCTGTCTCATCCCTGAACACTCTAGGTCATCACTGGTGATGGATCTGTGTCCCGTATGGACCAGGAATCCCATGAGGTCATAGCCAGTGGCGTCCTGGTTACTGCCCTGTCCTCAGCACCATAGGGCACATTTCATTCCATAGAAGTGGAAAAAATGCTTCCCTTTCATCTTTTGGTCTTTGTACATACTGTTCCTTATGCTGAGGCACCTTTCCTCACTCCACCCTACTACTCCTCATAGCTCAGATGTTTCCTTCTCCAGGGAGCCTTCCCCGATTCTCCTGGCTGAGCTAGGTGCTTCCTCTGGGCTTCCTGGGCCAGCCAGCCCTGACACTGTGCCAGTGCCTCCCCCCATCACAGCCTTGGGGACTTTGGGTCATCAGTCGATGAGCATGTCTCCTGTGCTGGTTGGGAGCCCCAGGAGGCAGGGATCGGGGCTGTTTGGGTCACTACTGAGTCCATGGCACACAGCAGAAGGTCCAAATGCAAATTAGGTGTTGAAGGAACATCTGCTGGCTCAATTAACTGATGAGAAAGAGCTGCTGAGGATCAAGGACAGCAGAGAATAAGCAAAGGGCTCTTCATTCTTTAGGTGTTATTCAAGGTGTCCCCTCCTTCAGGAAGCTCTCCTTGATCCCTGGGCTGGACCTGCCTATTCTGGGCTTCCACAGCCCTCTGGGATTGCTCAGTGCAGTCCTGACCACTCTAGGCCCTCACTGTGTAGAGACAGGTCTTTGCCCACTGGAAAAACCTCTCTGGAACTAGGCCCTCAGTCTGGTTCCCATTTCCTCAGGGCCTGGGTGTCCTGTTGCAAGATTTCTTTCCTTTTTTTTTTTTTCTTTTTAAAAAATATTTATTTATTCATGAGAGAGAGAGAGAGGCAGAGACACAGGCAGAGGGAGAAGCAGGCTCCATGCAGGGAGCCCGATGTGGGACTCGATTCCAGGACTCCAAGATCATTCCCTGGGCCAAAGGCTGACGCTCAACCGCTGAGCCACCCAGGCGTCCCTGTTGCAAGATTTCTTAAGGATCCAGATGTGCTCCTGAGTCCTGGTGATACAAACGCCTCCAACCCTGGGCCCTCGGGGGACCCCTGTGTCCCTTGGCCTCCACCTCCAGGTGCCAGATATCTGGATTCTTGGATCAGTTCACCCCAAGCCCTCTGCAAACTGAGTGCTGACAGCAGCAGGGGGTGGAGTGGGGTGAGGCAGCTTCTCAGACAGGTGATCAGTGTAGTTGACAGGTCCTTGTGCCAAGAAACCCTTTCTGATTTGATGCTCCATAGCTGCCACCTGGAAATTCTTAATTTTCTTTTTTGAATGTGTATTTTGTAAGAAGTCTAAAGGGATGTCAGGCATGCACTGGAGGGGATTGGAGCTCACACAAGTATTCACCTCCTGCCACCTTCCCCGTCCTGGAGACAGGCTTTATCTGCCTTTCCCTCCCGGCCCCTGCCCTGTGGCCACTGTCACCCTCCAGCTTCAGCAGGGCCAAGGGACACCCAGAAAGAACAGGGTCATGCACCTGTCCCACGTGGCATCTTGGGTTGGGGCATGGCAGTGGGCAGCTGCCCACTGGAAAGGGAGTCTAGCAACCCAGTTGCTCTGGGTGTGGGACAGGGTCTGTAGATACCTCTGAAGGTCTGTGCTCTCAAGCATCAAGATGTTTGCTTTTGGGAATATGATATTAAATGCCAGGATGGGCGGAGAAAGATGGCAGAAGAAAGGGAAAATGCACTTCTATTTTAATATCTTTAATGGCACTCTTTCATGCCTTTTGAACCAGGTCCTCATATTTACGTTTTGCACCAAGCCCCACAAATTATGTAGCCAGCCCTGCCCCTAACTCCACCCCTTCCCTGATACCCAGATTGTACGTCCCAGAGGGAGTGGGTCTGAGATAGGCTGGGAATGTCACTGGGCTCAGGGCCTGCCTTGGCCCGGGGGACAGGAAACCGTGGTGGACAGACAACCCAAGGTTGTATAAGGCCCTGCCATGACCTCCAGAGCTGGAGACTGCCTCCACACTGGCCTCTCTGTTCACCTATCTGCGGAACCAGATACTAAATCATTTTGCAGTGATCTCTGTGAATAGGAGCAGGGAAGAATCAGAGCAGGTGTAAGTAAAGGCGCTGCATTCAACCCTCCCTCTGCTCTCTGGGCCTGGGCCAGGTGGGGGTCAGCATTGAGGATCCAGGCAGGCCTGTGCAAGAGGAGACTCCCCACCCTGGGTACCACTCCCTCCCAAAATGCTAGTTCTTCTGGTCTGGCTAGTTGGGGTTCCTCCCTGAAACTCTCCCACGCAGCTGGGGACTGCAGGGCCTCCTACTCCTGAACACACAATAGTTATGGTATTATTAACCTGACTCGCTCCATCCCTCAGGAGATAGGGGTTTTCAGATCCATTTGGCAAAAGAGGCAGCTGAAGTTCAGAGAGGGAGTCCCAGTTGCTTGAGGTCACACAGCAAGAGGATGGCACAGGCAAGATTAAAATTTCAGTCTGTCTAGTGTTTATATTTTACCCACTGCCTCGCTCCACTATGAAAGACACTCCTTAAAAAAAAAAAAAGACACTCCTTACAAAACAGATATCTCAGAGGCTCAGAGAGGTGAAGACACTTCCCCAGGGTCACACAGCAAGCCATAAGTGGGGCTGGGATTTCAAGGCTGCAAGGCTGCAAGGCAGGGAGGCAGGGGTCAGTGCTGGATGACTTCACAAGCAGTCATTCACTTTCTCCCTGCGAGCCTCAGCAGGAAGCCAAGTGACGTCACCTGTATGAGTGAGGTGCTAGTCATTATTGGGAATAGGGGTGCCCAGTGGGGTCTGGGGAATAGATGATATCTTAATGAACACAGCCGCTATTTTTCCCTGGTATAGATAAATCTTATTATGAGTGGAGAGAAACAAAGGAAGGTTAGAGATGTGACTTATATAATGATATAATATAGTATAATAATATAAATATTATGTAATAAACATAATCTGTATAAATACTATAACATAACATAAGGAGACACTTATATGAGCCTGCATATGGGGATGATTAGTCATTTTGCAGCTTGCACAATGTTCTTGTTTCTGAACCTACACACAGTAATGCAGTGGTCCTGGTCGTGTCTCCCTCCACCAGGTCACGGTGTGTTCCTGTCCAGTGTGGGTGTTCTGTGTTGGTGTTGGTGTGTAACAGAACACCATGGCCTCACTGCGGGTGCCTGGCCAACTCCCTGATGTCAGGGGCTGCTTTTCTTCCTTACCTGGAAGACAGCCCAGCTCCCTCACTGGTCTCCTGGTTTTCTCTCTCCCTCCAGAATCATCATCATCATCATCATCTTCTTCTTCTTCTTCTTCTTCTTCTTTCTTTTTTTTTTAAAGATTTTATTTATTTATTCATGACAGACACAGAGAGGCAGAGACAGGCAGAGGCAGAAGCAGGCTCCCTGTGGGGAGTCTGATGCAGGATCCCAGGACCCCAGGATCGTGACCTGAGCCGAAGGCAGACACGCAACCACTGAGCCACCGAGGCGCCCCTTCTTTTTTCCCCCTTCTCCTTTTTTTTTACACAGAGGCCACAGTGATATCCTTTATCTTTTTTCTTCCCTTTTTTAAAGTATAATGTACACTCAGTGGAGTATATAAGTTATAGCTGGGTAAATCTTTACAGATTTGTACACATGTGTAACTACCACCTAGATGAAGATAGTGGAGGCTCAGCACCCGTGCTCCATCGGGAAAATGAATCCCTATTCAGTTCTAAGAAGTTCATGTACATGGAATTCCATGGTATGCTTTATGTGCGTGAGGCTTCTTGAGCTCTCCATAAAGTTTTCGAGATTCATCCATGTGGCTGCAGATACCAGTAGTTGGCTTGTTTTTACTGCTGTGTAAAATAATCCATGGGGTTCGGGACCCACTCATTTTTTCTCCATTCCCTTTTGATGGATATTTGCATTTGTCCCCAGATTTTGATCATATTAAAAAGCAAGTCTGGGAGTGCCTGGGTGGTTCAGTCAGTTAAGCATCTGCCTTTGGCTCAGGTCATGATCTCAGGGTCCTGGGATGAAGCCCCGCATCAGGCTTCCTACTCCACAGGGAGTCTGCTTCTCCCTCACCCCCTGCCTGTGCACTCTCTCTCTCTGCCAAATAAATAAATAAATAAAATCCTTCAAAAAGAGAGGGAGAAAGAAACACTTAAAAAAAAAAAAAAAAAAGCACGTCTGGGGATCCCTGGGTGGTTCAGCGGTTTAGCACCTGCCTTGGGCCCAGGGCCTGATCCTGGAGATCCGGGATCGAGTCCCACATCAGCCTCCCTGTATGGAGCCTGCTTCTCCCTCTGCCTGTGTCTCTCCTCTCCCACTTTCTGTGTCTCTCATGAATAAATAAAGCCTTTAAAAAAATTCTAAAAATTTTTTTAAAAATGCTAAAGAAAATGAGAAAATATTTTTAAAAAAGTAAGTCTGGGGGGATCTCTGGGTGGCTCAGCAGTTTGGCGCCTGTCTTCAGCCCAGGGTGTGATCCTGGAGACCCGGGATCGAGTCCCACGTCGGGCTCCCTGCATGGAGCCTGCTTCTTCCTCTGCCTGTGTCTTTGCCTCTCTCTCTCCCTTTCTGTGTCTCTCATGAATAAATAAATAAAATCTTAAAAAAGAAAAAAAAGTAAGTCTGACTGTGTGCCCTCCCACCCCCACTGATTTAGACCCTCTAAAACTTTATTCACCTTTCTCAGAATTAATTGAAATTTCTTCACAGGGCCTCTAATGTCCCTGCCTGGCTCCTCCACCTCTAACATCCACCTTCCTCCTTTGTCCTCTGAGCTCCAAGCCCACTGCTCTACTCCCTGAGTGGTCCATGCTCTAGTCTTTGCACAAGCTGCTTTCTTTGCTTTGTAATCTGCTCTGCCCCCAAGTCTTTGAGACCACATCTTGAAGAGACCTTGGAGCAAGCTTCACTGGCCAACCAGCCCCCCACCCCCAGGCTCCATACCTCCTTGGAGCTTCCTACACTTCTTCTGTCATTATTCTAGTTGTATATAACAGTTTGTGTGATTAATTAGTATCTGTCTCCCCCATCAGACAGTGTGCCCTGTGAGGACAGGCACTGGTTCTATCTTCACCTCCAACAGTGGCCCAAACCAAAGCTTGCACACCGTACGTACTCATTAAATATTTCCGGGGGGCTGGGTGTCCAGCTGACCCCTTATCCATTCTGAGCCTCAGTACTTTCCCCTCTACACCCCCCGGCCCCAAACACACAGACTTTCTCCTGGGAATTGTCAGAGAACCTGGACTCCCACCTTTTCCCTCCTCGGCAGCTGTGGGGTGACGCACGCAGGGGCGGGTGCCCCGCCCCACGGCGGACGCTGATTTGGCCTGGTTGGGCAAGGCCAGGGTTGCCTGGGGGGAGCTTACTCATCCTGGGCTCAGGTAAGAGGGCCCAGGTTGGGAAGCGGCACACCCAGGGGGGACACCGAGGGAGCAGGACCGAGCCATGGCCCCTGCCAGGAAAGCAGGCGCCCAGGCAGTGATCTGGACTCCAGGCTGGCAGCTGCTGCTGCTGCTGCTGCCGCTCCTTCTTGGAGGTGGGTCTGCTGCCAGGAGAGGATAGAGGGGGTAGAGCAAGGGCTCTAGAAGGAGCTGTCTCCTACAGGAAGAGCTGTGGAGACCTGGGAAGGATCATCGGCTCTGCTCAAGGAGGCTGTGGGAGGGATCCCCCACCCTGGGCAGAGAGACTGTCCGGAGGATTCCTGCCCTGGGGGACCGTGGGAAAAGTTTCTCCATCCTGAATGGATGGGGGCTGTGGCAAGGATCCCCCGCCCTGGTCAGAAGGGGCAGTGAGGACGGATCTCTCCCTGAGCTGACCGGACTGTGGAGGAGTTGTCCCATCAGAAGGGCGAACTGTGGGAGAGTGTCTCTCCCATCCATAGCAGGGATCCCTCGTCTTGGATATAAGGGGCTGTGGGAAGGATGCTCCCACTGCAGGCATAGGGGGCTTGAAGCAGAGGGGCACCAGATTTGTGGGGAGGTTTTCCTTACTTCTGTCCTGGAAAGCGGTGGGCAATAGTGTCGTCCCATCCCGGGGAGAGAGGGCGCCGAGAAGGACTGTTCCTCCTTTCCGGAAGGAGGTTCCAGGAGCAATACCTCATTTCTACTCGGCCCTGCATCCCCAGGAACGCAGGCCCTGGAATGCTACAGCTGCGTGCAGAGAGCAGATGACGGATGCTCTCCGCAAAAGACCAAGATCGTGAAGTGCGCGCCGGGCGTGGACGTCTGCACAGAGTCCGTGGGGGCGGTGGAGACCAGTGAGTGGGGCCCTCTGGTCCATTCGTGCCCCTTCATGCTTCTCCAGCCAAGCTCCGCCTCCTTTTGTCCCGCCCCTTCTTCCGAATTTGTCCCCCACCCATTCAACGCCCTCCACGCTTCCTTTTCAGCCTGACTGGGGCCCTTCAACAGCATCACGCCGTTAGGGCTTAGAGGGGTGGGGCTGAGAAGTGCTACCCGAGTTGGGCCAACTGGGAGAGCCCGGATTTGGGACCTGGTCCCCTTCAAGGGCACAGTCTATCCATTTCCGCCCCACCCCTGAGACCTCGCTACCCACCCTGTCCCTTCCAGAATCCTCTATCCAGGTAGGCTCGCGGTGATGCTGACCGCTCTAGGGGTCTCCTAGGTTCCCTAGACGGAGGCTCTACCCCACCGGCCCACGCCTGGGGGAATCTTGCCCCTGGCTGAGGCTAGGCTCCGGGGAGGCCCCACCCCTCTCTGCCCCTGTGCCCTGTCAGTCTCCCAGGTCCTTCTTAGGATGCTTCCGGCGGTTGCGCCCCTCTGTCGCCCGGCCCCGTCCTACTCCACTCTGGGCCCTCCCCGCCTCTTTTTTGTCCAGAGTCTGTCAGCCTGTCCTCTCGGACTCAGCCCTTTGCGGTTCTGCCCCTCTGTCTGTGGCTCTTTCGCCTGCGACCCGCTCTCCTCTGGTGGTGGTGATGGGGGGGGTCCACTCGAGGTCCCGCCGCCGCTCACCCCGCTCCTCCCCCTCCCGCAGTCCACGGGCAGTTCTCGGTGGCAGTGCGGGGCTGCGGCTCGGGTCTCCCGGGCAAGAATGACCGCGGCCTGGACCTTCACGGAATTCTGGCCTTCATCCAGCTGCAGCAATGCTCCCAGGACCGCTGCAACGCCAAACTCAACCTCACGTCGCGAGCGCTCAACCCCGCAGGTCGGTGGGGGCGGGGCCCTAGGCTCGGGGGGCGGGGCCACGCGGCGGCAGGCGGGGCTTGGTCGAGGCCGACCTCGTGGGGCGGGACGCCAGGGGCGGAGCTACGGGGAAGTGGGCGGGGCCTGCGTGGGGGCGGGGCTAGGGGCTGAGCAGAGAGTCCGTCCAGGACTTTGGGCTGACCTGTGCTTCCTGAACCTTCTGGACCGTTTCCCTCCTACCTGCTCCCCTCGCAGGCAATGAGAGTGCGTACCAGCCCAACGGTGCCGAGTGCTACAGCTGCGTGGGGCTGAGCCGCGAGGCGTGCCACGGCACGGCGCCGCCCGTCGTGAGCTGCTACAACGCCAGCGACCACGTCTACAAGGGCTGCTTCGACGGTAACGTCACCCTGACTGCAGGTGAGCGAGTCGAGAGCACGGGGCCGACAGGAGTTGTGGTAGCCTCTCTGAGGCCTCATGGGCGGTGGGTAGCCCTTTACACAAAGACTTCCCCCACCCCAACACCTTCTGGAAACTGTAGGCCTAAGTTCTTGTCTTATCCTAGAGCGTCCTGAATAATGCAGCCCTATCCCCAAATAGCATGGGGCTACGGTTGCTTTTGTCCTAGAGTTTTTTTTTTGGGGGGGAATGCATTTCCATAGAGGCCTGGTAGGTGCAGAATGGGACAATATGCCATAGGAAATGTAAGCCTCCAAGCTTCTAGATGGCAGGAGTCTACTTCGATTCCTTAAAACTCAAGGAGTTAGGGCCCCCCACCTAACCACTTAGGAGAGAGGTAGTGCATCGGCCTGGCCTCTGCCTCAGGGGGGATGTTGAACTGGGGGATGTTCTTCAAACTCCTCTTCAGGTGTATTATGGGAGATGTAGTTCTGAACTCTCAAGACTAAATTTTGGCAGGGGAGGGGGTGGAAGAGAGAGAGAGAGATGGAAAAAATGAGTGGGATGTAGGGAAAGTTTGTTGGCTCTGGTCCTGTGAGAGGTGTCTCCCTGTCCACACTTCCCTTGCAAGGCATTGTGGGACTTGTAGCTCATCCCACACACCTTTCCTCTCAAAAGCGGGAAATGCGGCTCACTATGTGTCAGAGACAGTGGGACAGCGTTTCTTAAAGTGGGGCCTGAATTGAGACTTTTGGGTGAATGGAGGCAGAGCCCTCCTGTCCCTCATTTTGGGGGTTCTTGCCCTTGTCTCGCCCCTGTTTCACTCTGGCTCGGCAACCCTCCAACCACCGACCTACTGTGTCTCCCTCCTGCAGCGAATGTGACTGTATCCTTGCCCGTGCGGGGCTGTGTCCAGGATGAGTTCTGCACCCGGGATGTGGTGACAGGCCCAGGGTTCACACTCAGTGGCTCCTGCTGCCAGGGGTCCCGCTGTAACTCGGACCTCCACAACAAGACCTTTTTCTCCCCGCGAATCCCACCCCTTGTCCTGCTGCCCGCCCCTAAGCCCACCACTCTGGCCCCAACCACCTCTGTCACCACTTCCACCCCAGCCCCAACCACGCGTGTCTCTACCACCAAAGCCACCTCAGCTCCAACCAGCCAGACTTCTCCCCAGGAAGTACATCCTGAGACCTCCGGGAAAGAGGAATCTAGCTTTGCTGGAGGTGCCACTGGCCACCAGGACCGTAGAAATATGGCAGGGATCCCTACCAAAGATGTGGCCCATGGTAAAGCCTCTGCAACTCCCTTCACTGGGTTGACAGCCTTTCTGTTGGCTGTGGCTGCTCGCACCTTATTATGAGTTTTTCCATCTAGAAACCTCCGTCTTGCCCTGTTCCCTGGCCCTGGGTACCTCTCTCTTCCCATTACTTTCCTTTCCCTGACTGGACTGGGCTGGCCCAGCCTCTGTTCTTCCCATCGCCCCCACTATCCCCAGCTTCTGCTGCACTGGTTTGCGGCTTTGGGAAATAAAGTTACCATTGTTTGTATATATCCTGCCAGGGTGTTAATAGCTTTCTGAAGGCAGCAAATGTATCTCCCTCATCTTTGTCTCTCCCTCCCCTCCTCATGGTGCCTAGGACAGAGAAAAGCCAGGGCTGTCCCAGGGAAGATGGGGGAAACAATGATAAACTTCCTCTTCGCTTTTTTATAGCCAGCCTCGAATATGGGGGCAGAACCAACCTGAAATGTAGGGGTTGGAGCAACCTGGAATATAGGGGGGTGGAGCTAACCTGGAATATAGAGGGTGGAGCCAACCTGGTATATAGGGGGCAGAGCCAACCTGGAATATCAGGGGCCAAGGCAGATAGTGGTGCCCTCCTATGCTGGCTGCTGCCCCTGCCCTCCCCCCACCCCCACCCCCACCCCCCACCCCCGCCATCTCTGTGGCAATTGTTTTGGCATCTGAGTTCCTTACTAGACTGTGAGCTCCTCAAGGGCAGGGACCGTGCCTTATACCCCTGTGTGGTCAGCTTCTGGCACATAAAGGTCTCAATAAAAGTTTAATTCCTTTGTACAGTGTTTTGAAGGACTCATTTCTTACCCTAACCTCTGAGGGTGACCACTTAGCTGAACTAAGATGGGACTGCCAAGATCTTTAACAGAGAATCTGAGATCTAGAACCACAGCCCAGGGGGAAGTTGGGGTTTAGCCAGTCTGTGGGCGATCCCACTGGTGAAGGGTTACCCCATGAAACCACTAAGAAGTGACAAGGGTGAATGGGGCTTTTAGTAATGTTTGGGAGCAGAGGGGAGCTTTGTTTTCCTGTTTTGTTTTTTAGGATTTTATTTATTTATTCATGAGAGACAGAGAGAGAGGCAGAGACATAGGCAGAGGGAGAAGCAGGCTCCCTGCAGGAAGCCGGATGTGGGACTCAATCCCAGGACCCTGGAATCAAGACCTGAGCAAAAGGCAGATGCTCAACCACTGAGCCACCCAGGTGCTCTAGAGGAGCTTTGTTTAATGGATCATACACCATGCTTGGCCCCCGCCCACCACCACCTTGTCATCTGTTTGGCTTCTTAAAAATTATTATGTGGGCCTAGCCTCTGCATCCTACTCATCAGGAGATCTCAGTGGTGCTGTTGATCTCTGCTTCATGTTGGGGACTTGGGGCCTAAGCTCCATTTCCATTTCCTCCAATCAGATGAAGGTGTAGAGGCACCGGGATGGAAAAGCCTGGCTTGGGACTGGGGCCTTGGCAGGCTTTGGGATGGCTTGATGGAGGGGGGACCAGATGTGGTCAATAACAAGATCATAATAGTAATATTTCCAGTATCCATATTAATGAGGAAGAGTATGGTGACACAATAGTAAATAATGATTATAGGAACAAAATAGGAAATTAATAAGAAAGTAAGCAACAGTTAATAGTAACTGTAGTTACGGAATGTTAATCATTTTAAAAGTCTTACCACATGCCAGGCCTGTACTGAGGGTGTTTGCATCCAGAGTCTCCTTTAGTTTTCTGTATACATTCTCAGATGGAAAGTTTGGGGAAACCGAGGCTCAGAACAGTAAAATAAGTTACCTACAGCAATTAATCCACATATCAGGTACTGTTTTAAGTGCTATACTTGGATTGACATACCTGATTTATATAACCATCCTATGAGGTAAGTATTCATCATCTGCATTTTACAAGATGAAGAAACCAGACCCAGAGAGGTTGAGAAACTTGCCCCAGGTCACCCAGCTAATAAGCACTGGAACCCAGATTTGAACCCAAGCAGACTGGCTTTACAGGGCTGGACCAAGAGGGCTGTAACTTTTCCTTCAGCTTGACTAAACTTTTGATAGGCTTCTCTCCACTTTTAAACTCCTGACCTCCCTCTCACCCCAGCCCTTCCAGAATCCAGATGGCCTAACCACAGAAGCCCCAGACCTCGCTTTTCTTAGAGCACTCACTTTAGAAAACTTGTCATTATAAATTCTTTCTCTGTGCCTTTGAGATCTATGTAAATGTCTTTAAAAGCCTCCTGCCAGTTTTATAGCCCAGAAACACATCTTTCTCTAGGCCCTGGGAACCATCTCTTTGAAATGTAAACTTCAAAGGAGCTAGCACCCCTGTCTGTCTCACAGTCTTCCTAGAGGAGGTGGTGAGAGCCTCACTTCTGTGGGCACCTTCTTCCAAGTTGTAAAACTACCTCCTGTCGCACAGATACAAGCAAGTTTTCTTTTCTTTTTTTTTTTTTTAAGATTTTATTTATTTATTCATGATAGTCACACAGAGAGAGACAGAGAGGCAGAGACACAGGCAGAGGGAGAAGCAGGCTCCATGCACCGGGAGCCCGACGTGGGACTCGATCCCGGGTCTCCAGGATCGCGCCCTGGGCCAAAGGCAGGCGCCAAACCGCTGCGCCACCCAGGGAGCCCACAGGCAAGTTTTCTTTTCCTTTGGGGAAAGCCAACTAGCAAACAGAGATGACCTAAGATGTCCCCCTCACCCCACCTCTTAAAAACCCAACTGCTGGGATCCCTGGGTTGCGCAGCGGTTTGGCGCCTGCCTTTGGCCCAGGGCGCGATCCTGGAGACCCGGGATCGAATCCCACGTCGGGCTCCCGGTGCATGGAGCCTGCTTGTCTCTCTCTCTCTCTCTGTGACTGTCATAAATAAATAAATTAAAAAAAAAAAACCACCCAACTGCTCGTTGTTTTAGCAGATTTGAGTTCAGACTGAGTGCTGGCCTCTTTACCCTCCCGCAATACCCCCTGAATAAAGTCCTTCTTGCTTGTTTAACGTTGGCAGGTGCAATTTTGTTGGGGTTCTGTTGTTTACCAGGCAGATATCACTTACATCTGAAGTCATTTGCATTTTACCAGAGAAAAATAGTTTTCAGTCTATCAATCTTCTTATCATTTATGAAAATAATTTGCAAAGCTGAGTCTAAACCTTATAAAGTGTGGGCCCTAATCAGTGATATATAGTAGGGCATACAAAGCTACATTCCCCCAGATAATCCTTGAGTGGTTCTAGAAGTTAGACAGTGCTCCAGTAAGATGTTCTAGAAATATATGTGGTTTTGCTTTTGTCTTATTTATGAAGTAAAAATTTTTTTTGATTAAGTAGACTCCACGCCCTGCATGGGGTTTGAATTCATGACATCCAGATCAAAAGTTGCATGCTCTACCAACTGAGCTAGTCAGGTGCTCCTGGTCTTATTTATAAATTTCATTCATTCATTTATCACATATGTATTTTTTTAAGAGATTTTATTTATTTATTTGAGAGAATGAGAGAAGAAGAGAGATAACAGAGGGAGAGGGAGAAGTGGGCCTCCTATTGAGCAAAGAGCCCCACACGGCTCAGTCCCAGGACCCTATAGCACCTGGGTGGCTCAGTTGGTTAAGCGGCTGCCTTCTGCTCAAGTCATGATCTCAAGGGTCCTGGGATCCAGCCAGCAGGCTCCTTGAGCAGCAGGGAGCCTGCTTCTCCCTCTCCCCGCCTGCTTGTGCTCTTTCTCAAATAAGTAAACAAAAAATTTAAAAATTATATGGAACTTCACAAATTTGCATGTGATCCTTGCATAGGGGCCATCCTAATCTTCTCTGTATCATTCCAATTTTAGTGTATGTGCTGCCAAAGTGAGCACTTACTTAAAAATTTTAGATCCGCTTTGCCCAACAGAAATATATCGCAAGACACATTTAAATTACATACATAATTCAAAATTTTCTAGTATCCACATTAAAACAAGTAAAAAGGTATGGTTAATTTTAATCATATATTCTAACCTTATATGCGCAGACATCATTTGAATACATAATCCATATAAAACCATTATCAATGAGATATTTTATGGGTTTTTTGTACTCAGTCTCTGGAATGCTTTGTGTATTTTATGCTTTTATTACATTTCAATTTGCACTAGCTATATTTCAAGTGCTCAGTATCTAAAGCCTTAGAACTTTGCATAAATAGAAGTATACAGTATATACTCATTTGTGTAAGGCTTCTTTCACTCCACATAAAGTGGCATATCATGATTTATTTTTTTATAAAGATTTTATTTATTTATTCATGAGAGACACACAGAGAGAGGCAGAGACATAGGCAGAGGGAGTAGCAGGCTCTCTCTGGGGAGCCTAGTGTAGGATTCGATCCCAGGATCCCAGGATCACGACTTGAACCAAAGGCAGATGCTCAACCACTGAGCCACCCAGGTGCCCCTATTTATTCTTTTATTGACGAACACTCATACTGCTTCCAATTTGGGGCTATTATGAATAAAGCTGCTATGAATATTCTTGTACACTTACCTTTATGGACATAAACTTTCATTGCTCATATGTAAATTCTTAGCAGTAGAACTGCTGTGTCAGAGGACTGGCATGTGTTTGGCTTATTAAGAAACTACCAGACCTCTTCAAAATCAGTTGTACTGTTTTACAGTCCTGCTTGTGAGTAAGGATATTTGTAGCTCCACTTTCTCATCAATATAAGGTGTCATCAGTAGGTCTTTTAAATGTTATCCTTTGTGTAGGTGTGTTGTAGTATCTCATTGTGTTTTTTGCAAGCATATCCCTGAAGACCGATCACGTTGAGAAGTTCCTCCATTGTTTGATGTCCATGGGGGGTAATGGGAGTTGCTTTGTGGGAAGCTGAGAAAGTATGAAATTGGAGCACAGGCAAGGGAATGGACGTGACCATGTAGGCTGACTTCTAGGCAGAATTAAGAGACCAGTGGAGGTTATGAATCATGAATTTAAAGTAAGATTTGCCAGCAGAGTTGTGTGATTTTTCTCCAGCTTTGGTCACTCACATGAGTATGGAAACTGAGTGGTAGAAAGTGGGATATTGCCAGATTGCCTTGTCAAGAGGACAAAGCCAGAGACTTGAGAGTATATGCAGAAGAGAGACTATCATGGTTAAGAGTGGATTTAAGGCTGGAAAGAAGGAAAGTTAGGATCTGAGGGATATGACAGATGGATTTATTCATTCATTCCTTTATTCATTTCATACGTTTTTTTTAAAAAGATTTTATTTATTTATTCATGATAGACATAGAGAGGAGAGAGAGGCAGAGACACAGGCAGAGGGAAAAGCAGGCTCCACGCCAGGAGCCTGACGCGGGACTCGATCCTGGGACTCCAGGATCGCGTCCCAGGCCAAAGGCAGGCGCTAAACCACTGAGCCACCCAGGGACCCCCCCCATTTCATACGTTTTTTAAAATTAAGTAGACTCTACCCCCAACGTGGGGCTTGAACTCATGACCTTGAGATCAAGAGTCACATGCTCCTCCAACTAAGGCATCCAGGTACCCCAGATTTCATAAATTAAAAAAAAAAAGATTTATTTACTTACATGAGAGAGAAAGAGAGAGTGCGCAGGCAGGCAGACGGGGGAGGGGCAGAGAGCAAGACAAGCAGACTCCTCACTGAGTGGGGAGCCTGACAATGCAGGGCTCAATCCCAGGGCCCCGAGATCATGACCTGAGCTGAAATCAAGAGCCAGATACTTAAACTGATTGAGCCACTCAGGGGACCCTTCATACATCTTTACTTAACAGGTACTGT